CAAACCGAATGCATTCAACACACAGGGGTGTGACGGACCGCCTGGTACCCCGACTGGGTACCTCCGTCAGAAATCAGCTGCCTTTCCGCTGGAACCCGAATCCCAGTGTCATCAGCCCAAACCTGCCTAATTATTGGACAGAACCAATATATTAGGACAGAACGCTAACCCCTCAATCATTAGACAACACCAATGTTGAGGTGGAAACCAAGATCTGCTTTATTGAAGGAAGCACACAGAGTTTATAGCTGACAGGATCAGATTAGAGTTCAGTGTGTCCCCTCCCCCAGAGAGCTAGGTGCCGCATTAGAAGTCTTTTCAGCACAGACACTCTTTGGGATGAATGTCCCAATGTCGGGGAGGGTGTTAACAGCGATATTTCCGTGTTTGCGGATGACAACAAAATTGGGAGGGTAATCAACACGGACTTAGACATTACAACATTAATTACTCCTAGAATGAGATCCTAATAGGTTGGACTTGATGGACTAATGTCTTTATTCAACCTCAAATACTATGTAGCTATGTAACATGCCAATGTTTTGCAAAGATTCGTCTCAGCTTTGGCCAGCTTGACCCATATTGCGTGATCATTCTCACATGATTAACTACCTTTTCTTTCGGTTCTCCCTCCTTGCTGTTTTTACCCCTTAAGATCTCTGCCCTATTTTTCTTTCCTACTTTTGTTTTACTTGTTCGGAGGGTTCTGTGTGAATATCCCCTCTGTCTAAAATGATTGTATAGGGATCTAGACTCCATTACATAATCTTTATGTTCAGTGCAGTTCCTTTTAATTCTCAGGAACTGTCCTGTGGGAATTCCTTGCTTGAGTGACAGGGGGTGATGGCTACTCGCATGAAGAAGTGTGTTGGCTGCGGTCTCCTTTCTGTAAGTTCTTGTGGTCAGTCTCCCCATCCAAAACCTAATCAATAGGTCCAAAAATGGGATTTCCTGATCACTGGAATTGAACGTCAGTCTTAAATTTCTATTATTGACGTTCAATTCTGAAATAAATTCTTTTAACTGATTTTCGAGGCCCTGCCATACCATCAGCACATCGTCTATATACCTGAGCCATGTTTTAGCATGGCTCAGGTATAAATGGTGACCATAGACCACCTCCATTTCCCAGAATCCAAGGTGTAAACATGCGTAGGCGGGTGCCCATGGGGCTCCCATAGAGGCCCCTTTAAGTTGTTTATAATATGATCTGGAAAACTGGAATTATTTAAAAGGGCAAATTCTAACATCTCTATGAGGAACTCGTTTTGTGCCGCCATTTCTGGATAGCTCAGGTCTAAGAAATACCTGACTGCTTTTAGGCCCCATTCATGTTGGATGGATGTGTACAGTGACTCCACATCCACTCCCACAAGTATGGCCTCACTTTCTATCTTTAGACTTTCAATTTTATTTAGTATGTCCCCTGTATCTTTAACAAATGAAGGTAGTTTAAAGACCATTTCTTTTAGGAGGTGATCTAGGTACTTGCCCAAGTTTTCCAGGGGCCCTCCCACCGCTGACACTATAGGTCTCCCAGGTGGATTTTTTTTATGAATCTTTGGGATAATATAGAACGTAGGTGTGTTAAATGTATTTGTTTTAAGGAAGCCAGACTCCTTTCTTGATAATAATCCCACATCTCTTGCCATCTCGATTTTGTAATTATAATCGCAGACTAATCTTTTAAAGGGGGAACTATCGAGTCTTTCATAAGTTTCTTTATCATTCAAAAGGCGTTTGGCTTCCGTAACATACATAATTTCTGTCATCAAAACCACGTTCCTTCCTTTGTCACTTTTTTTATAATCAGTCCGGGTATATCTTTCAGTTCTTTGAGGGCCTTCCTTTCCATGGGGCTTAGATTATCCTGCCCTTTAATATCCCAAGTTGTCTCTTTTAAGTCTTTCTGAACAAGGTCCTTAAAAAGGGCAATGTGTCTATTATTTGTCAGAGTCGGCATTGTTTTGGATTTCAGTTTTAAAGGGGTATTCCTCGTGGGAGGATCTTCTAGGGGTTCTCCTTGATTCTCCTCTTTTAGAGCTTGGGTATCTAAATCATCTTTTATATTTTTGTTATTTAGTTGTTGTATAGTGGAGGCCATGTAATAGTAAAACAGATCCGATGCAGAAAACCGCTGTCCGTGCAGGAAAGCTGTTAGTAGCGTTAGGAGAGTGGCCTGCCGCTGTTCAGTGTACTTAGCCAGCCCCTAGTCACACCCTGTACTGTGTGTCAGCAGGTGTGGGAAGCCGCACAAGTCAGAATGAAGGAAAAAACATGTCCTTAGCGCGAGTCAGAAATTCTATCTTGTAGCCCAGAGAAACCAGCTTGCCCCCCTGGAGACCAGAGATGGGGGCTGATCTTCATGTGGAAGAGGGCTTGGAAGACTTGGGCTGCGAAGGACACTTGGCAGCCGAGGAAGGAGAAGGCTTTGAGAACTTACCAACATTCTCCGTGGGCGTAGAGGGCCGGAAAAGCAGAAAAGGAAAGGCCGTGCTTCTGACGCTGTTCCTAGCCTGAAGCAATAAAGTACTCTTACCGCCCATCAGATCCTTAATGATCTAATCCAGCGTAGCGCCAAACAATCGATCCACTGTAAAGGGAAGTTCCGTCAGAGCCTTCTTTGAAGTCTGAACAGCCGACCAGCACTTAAGTCAAAGCCACTGACAGCTTGGACACCAACGGCACAGCATCCAGCGCTGAGTAGCAAACATACTTCAGGCCCTGCACTAACTGTTCTACCAGTTCAACATAGGTTGGAGAAACATGCTCATTGGCCAGGCCCTGGTGCAACATTTTTGCCCATTGCGTCAGAATCTGAGAGACCAGGGCAGAGGCCAAAATCGGTCAAGCAAAACAAATGACAAACGCACTCAACAATTCGTCACCAGCCATACAGTAAGGTGCACACGAAATGGGCTTTGAACAGTAAAACAGTAGAAAGGTGTCATGGCACACTCACAAACCAGCATGTAAAAGGCCAAAATCGGACGCATGAGAGATCTCAAGACGGAATACATAGTCCGCGAAACAGCCTCCGCCTTCCTATGGGTGGGATCCTGTAAAGGAGAATCCTCCACCGGGATAACAGTAGCCTTGTCCAGGCGTGAGACCGGGGGATCCACCAATGGAGGATATGCCCACTTAGTTAAAAAAAAAAGAATACTCAAAAGGATAGCGAACAGAGAAATGGTTAGGCATCGAAAAAAACTTGGTCGGGCCCTTCTACTCTTGTAAATTAAGTCATCAAAGAAGGAGATGTAAGGGAAGACCTTAGTGGAATGGCTACTCGTATGCATTCTAAATTGAACTGGGGCAGCTCAGAAGAATGCGGAGCATCCTTAAACTTGAGCGTCTCCCTGACTGAAGGAATCAGGGCCGAAACCAATTCGTGCTCCTGGACCATAAGGGAGGCAGACGACTTGTTCTCACTCCCCAAATTCTGCTGTGAAGAGTTCCCAGGATCAGGACGAGCCGATGCCGCAGAAACCTCCACTTCCCCTTCCGACTCCTCCAAAAGGGCAGAAGAAGGCGAAGGCAGAGTACGCTTCTTAGAAGGCCTCTGCATCAAAGCGCGTTCAATGAGAGTCACAGAACGGTCCATAGCGGATGGAAAAACTCCCAAAGACTACGCCGTATCCGCAGTACTGACCAACCCCAAAGAGGATCCCGAGGGTGGCAATGGTGACTGGGAAAGGGGAGCAGCCGTACAGGCCACACATAGAGGGGAGTAGGAAGCATCCTCATTAGTAATCCCGCAACCCTCACAAGGTACCGGAGATGTCTTGTGCCTGCGGTCCATGGCACACCGCCCACACTGACACCAACCACCCCAAGAAACCACTGGGACTGCAGCAGAGGGGGACCCCAGCAGTACTCACGACCCCCAGCATGGTCCACGTCCTTGAGCCCCTAAAGTCCCAGCTGTCTGTCACACAGGCCAGCCGAAACAGCCACACAGGCAATCCGCCTACACCCGGAGCCCGACAGTAACAGGGCCCCAAAAGCTTCATACCAAGCTGCCCGCCACAAACCCCCAGAGACAGCGACCACCTCCAGCACTCGAGGGGGGTGACGACCCCAGGGAGCTCCCTGACAACCCCAGAAAGCAGAGCACAGCAGGCAAGGCGTGCAGGGAGGGCGGGAACACCAGCGATGGCAGTTGAGGCGCCGCCAGTCGGTGCAGAGTACTGTGAATGGGAGGCCGAGACCCCCAGTCATATGCACACCACTGGGACGAACCCACAAGACACTCTGTGAGAACAGAGTCCTCGCAGCCGACTCACCGTGGCAGAATCTGCATGCGCTCGCCGGTTGCACAGGGAAGACTACAAGGATCTACGATCATCCAGCATGTCGCCCTGGACACTTGCTTGAAGATACAGCGAAAAAAGAGGAAAAACAGAAAAGAAATCCAGAGAAAAATTCTCAGCTCCTTGCTCCTGAAGCTGGGCAAAAAAATGGAGACTTGTCAGCAGGAGGGGGTTTGGCTACCAGCAGAGGCAGCCCCTAGGCTGTCTGTCTTTTGTTTTATGCCTAGCATCCTTCTCCTGCAGGTAGCAATATTACCCTGTGGTACATGATCTTCGATCTGTTTCCTGTGTCTTTCAATTAACAGAAGATAAACAAGTCCCATCTATGGAGACCCTCAATTTGCAACTTACAGGACTTAAAATATCTGGTACTGTGGGCTTGGTGCCAGGTACCACCGCATACCTTCAGAGATCTAGTGGAGTACATGCTTCCATGGGTCAGGGCTGTTTTAGAGGAAAAGGGTGACCTAGAGAGGGTGACCTACTGAATATTAGGCAGGTGATCACAATGTTATGGCTGATTGGTGTATATATTGGATTACTTTGGCCATAAAAGCTGCTATCATTCAGCCCTAGTGTACTCAGAAATGTAAGGGGGAAAAAAACAAACAGCTGCACACTATAATTGGCTCAATTGTTACTTTTGGCACTGGCTCAGATAAATAGAAATATGCTGAAAATTGTTACCATTGCACAGGATGGCACGACTTAAACCAAGGGCATCAGCAGTGCCTGAGCTCATGTTCTCCACCAGGCGATGCTTCACCTTTTTCAGAACTGGGGTAAAAAAAAGCAAAACACTCACATAAGCCAAAAGTCTAATACCAGCAATGTACTACAAAGCTTAAGAAATTTAAAATAAGCATACATTTATAAAATAAAATTCTTACCAATATCCAAAGACTTCCCCTGCTTAGGGTCAGCTTGAAGCTTGTTGTAGTGAATGGTTACTTCCCCCTGATAAAGACAGCAGAAGCAGCTTTAGTCCACATATTTTTCTTTTATAACCTTAATAAACAACTTAATGATTGACTTTTGATGTCATTGTCAAGCTGAAAATAGGTTTACAGCAGCTATTTCTAATAGCAGAATCCCAAACAATACATTGAAGTGCACTATCTGGCCAAACAAAAGTCACATGCTTGTGAGGGCACTATTTCCGGAGTTGCTTTAGTTGGCCTGGTCTAGGTTCAGCAACGTTATGTCCCCCAAAATATGAGGTCAACTGCCCACTTGTATATACTGAATAACCAGGTTTTTCCATGAATTAATTTTTTCTTCCTTATGGCATAGGCATATTCCAAGATGACAATACCAGGATTCATCGGGCTCATATTGTGAAAGAGTGGTTTAGGGAGCATGAGACATCATTTTCCCACATGGCCTGGCCAACACAGAGTACAGAACCCCATTGAGAATCTTTCAAATGTGCTGCAAATTAACACAGTGGTCCAACTCTCCCATCACTACAAGATCTCTCCGTAATTTAAGCTAAAGGCGGTCAAGGAAATATTAGAGTGTGAGACTTTTTTTTGGTCCGGAGAGTGTATAAAAGGCGATAATTCTACTCTACTACTAGCATTTCCACAAAAAGCAGATATCTTGTGGTGCTTTGCAAGTTACCCTGTCTGTCCTAAAATATAATATTGCTATACATGCGTCAGTGTGTTGTGGTGCCATTAATTTTAAATGGCACCCAGAACATAAGTGATAAAACACACCTCAGTGTACCACAAAGTGAACCATTATGTGAGGTGTGAAGTTGCCTGCAAAAAAATTGAAGCAAGCACAAAAATGTAATGTTTTAACCCTTTCCCTGCCACCGATGTAAGGCGGAACAAAACTGTTCCCATACTGCCAGGTCAGTATGCCTTACGTCGGTGGCATTTACCGTTCTGCTATAAGCTCATAGTCGCTTTAGCAACCATTAACTTATGTCAGAGCAGTTCCCCTGATGGTCCCCTTTAAATGAATTGCTGTCATGCACAAGCGTTCATGGGGCCTTAGACTAGTGAAAGTTCTAATCTAATGCAAATTAGAATTAGCTGTGTGTAGCAGGAAGAGAGGCACATGAGAGGCAACTGATATAGTGGGATGGATAAGGAATTGCAGTGAGGGTGTCAGGAAGTCAGAATCAGAGTTCATGCTCGGTGGTCTGTGCATGCGCCTGGTTTTGCCCATGGAGCTTTGCCAGGTTGTGCGTCTTTGCGTAAACATGCGCACTCTGGGCAAGAGAGGCCGTCCTCGTCAAATCAGACTTCCCAAAGGTCCATGACCGAGGGATAGCAAGTGCTAGGGATTCAATTTTCGGTAGTGTTGAATTCTCCAGTGATATTGAAAAAAGCATGCATCCTAAAAACACCTGGATCATTTTTGCAAATAAAAACTCTGACAGTAAGCATTTTACTGTACTCATTGGTACATTTAGCTGGGAAATCATGGGGACAAGATCCCTCTAATAAGGTTTTAGCACCCTATGAGCAGTTATTGAGTAGTTAGCTGCCTGAACAGCTGCTGCATTAGAGACCTCCCGACAGACATAAATTTGAGCAAAGGTTGCCCACTTAAAATTGTTTAACTTAAATGTTTAATATTACGGACAAAATATTTTAGGTGTACTTTTTCAGATTTAGCGTGGTTGAACACTACTTATTTCAAACTAGTAGTCCATCACTGGAGACTTTTTTTTTAAAATCCGATTAATCAAACTTAATAATCGGCTAACTAATCGATTATGAAAATAATAGTTAGCTGCAGCTCTAATTAAAATGTGTTTCACAAACAAACTATGGCTGGGTTGGTTAACTCCAAACCATATTTACGTTTTTCACAGATACTGGAAAGCTAAACCACTTATTTATTATATCTCTCAGGGACTCTACTGGTGAAAGTACAGTGAATGACGCACCAGTCAGCATGCCTGCTGTGGTCATCATGAGGGGGTTCCTACTCTCTCCCACTCCCATTTGGGTGGACTGAGCCTGAGCTAAAAGCTGTGTAAAACACACAACAGCCAGAGCAAAGGATAAGTTAAAAAGAACCATTCACAATTGGGTTTATGCAAGGGTCTAAAAAAATAATCAATATTAACTTATCTTCATGCTACTGCTGCTGAAAAATATGTGAAAAAGATGTACCTGCAAATAAGAAAGTAAATATCTGCCTTTCCTGTTGCCAACAGTTGAATGGCTGATAATAATAAATTGCAAACTGATGTTTTCTTTACAAACAGGCACTTTTGGAATGTTAATCTCCTGCATTGCGTTCAGTGGTTTCTCCCGCTAACCCATATGTCACTACTGTGTCCTGTAGCGTTTCTTTGCATTGCCCCTTCAACAGCCTTGCCATCAGCACATTACTAAGCACAAGGCTAATGATGGGGACAATTTCCCAAAATAAGTTCACACTGACCCGAGTCACTGCAGCAAGAGAAGGTGAAACCAGTTCCCAGAAATGTCGAGCCAAAGGAAATCTCACCGCTCCAATTCCTTAGCCGCCATCAGGACTCCCCAGGTGCTGGTCTAATAGGTGCGTCTCCATCTTGGAATGTAGTAGTATACGAACAGACCGCACTGTCCAGAGAATTCCAATACTTAAAACTTTATTGAAATTCACAGCAAATCCGGTATAAAGGTGAATAAAAGTGTATAGCTGGTTGTAGCTGGTAGGGCATTTGCGGTGCTGGTATTTGCTGTTACACTTTTATTCACTGTTATACTGGATTTGCTGTGAATTTCAATAAAGTCTGAAGTATTCGAATTCAATGGACAATGTGGTCTGTTCCTATACTACTACAGTTCCCAGAAATATCACAGGTATTTCAGTTCAGAATTCCAGACTGCTAGATGCAGCTAGACAGTTGCTAGACTGCAAGACAGCTGCAGCCATTGGACTATCTTCTGAGACTTGCAATACACTCTTATACTGTCAACCGCTGTGATTGCATATGGTTTTTACTTAATTCAAAGTATTGTCATAATTTTATTGCACCATGGACGCATTTCACCCCCACCGGGGCTTCAAAGCATGTGTTGTTTGTCTTTAACTGCATCAGCTACGGACCCAGCCTTCCCCCCAGGTTTCCACAGCTTTTTCCTCCACCGTTGGTCCCCAGAAGCTGCCCCAACTGCAACAATATTCTTTAACCGACAGGGAGAGTTTCGAGACCTCTCCAATCTGAACTCCCAGAACTCGGCACACCCTATACATATGTGGACTTATCTACAACTTCGCCATTTTCTTAACCCCCAAGGAACTCGGTACGCCTTCACACGCCCCTTAACCCCTTTCGAAACACTATGTACTTCTTCCCAAAGGGTTACACATGCGATCGCCACTATTTACGCCTTACTGAACGATTCCTCCTCCCTCCCACCTACACCCTCCACTCGGGCTTGGGAAAAGGACCTGAATACCACCATTCTCCCACAGGACTGGAAAATAATAAATGTTTTGCTACTAACTAGTTCCTTAAATGTTCAAATTCAGGAAACCAATTACAAACTTCGCTCACGGTGGTATAAAATGTCAGCTGTACTCCACCGCATCTTTCCAGACACTCCTTATACTTGTTGGTGATGCTCATAGGCGGAGGGGACACTCCTCCACATATGATGGTCATGCCCGCTCATCTCCCCCTTTTGGACAGAGGTGCACGCCATACTGAGGACCATTACTGGTATCTCCCTTGAGTTCTCCCCGGCATCTTTCCTCTTATACCACTTTACCGCCCCCACCTATCCAAACACTCCTTGGCCATCCACTTGCTGAATGCAGCGAAAACTGTGATTCCTCGGCGTTGGAAATCACCCCAACCACCAACGGTCAAGGAATGGTTCCTCTCAAGCGGACCTTTACCCATATCTTTAAAATTAGGGATTCACCGATACTTTGAGTATCAGTGCTGATACTTGGCATTTTCATGAGAACTACCAGGGTTGTAGCGGTTGCAGCTTGTACCTAGCTCTGGCACTCCACCACTGTCCTGAAATCATTAGTCGATATTGTTTTCGAAAAACTGTCACATGACAAACATAAATGTATCAGTACTTGTACTTTTAAGTACTTGCAAAAATGGTATCGGTGCATCCCTTTATTTATATTTATAAAAAGAAAATCATACATTAAAACAGAGATGTACAAATTCCAGGAGCTCCGTGTGCTCCTTACAAATGGCAGCTCGTGGCCCCATAGCAAAATTTTGTATAGGGCCCCCCCAACCTGCACCCCCCTCTGGTGCTTGAACTAAAGCATATATTATCATATAATACGATTAAATTCAGTTTGCAATAGATCCCTGTCCCTGAACGCAGGATATGTAGTCCAGGGACAGTGATCTATTCAAAACTGCATTTAATCATATCACGTACATTGTGGGCAGACTGCCGCTTACAGATATGGCCACTGTCCCCTGCTTATTAACTTCAGTGGGTACAGCAGCCACATTTAAGCGGGACACCTGACATTCCTGTCGCAAGAACATACATGTTTATGCTGCAGAAATGCCAGAATGTCCTGTGTAACGAGGCCTAATTCTTTAACAGTGCCACCAATAAAGCGGGAAATATGGGATTTGCAATTACACATGGGGGCTTATAATTATAACTTAAAATAACACTGGGGTTTATAATTTGTAACTCCACTTTTACCAGCTTCACTGGTATGGCAGTGTTTGTTATTTTAAGTTATAATTACACTGCCGCACCACAGACGGATTACACAGTTGCAATTGAACCCACTTTAACTAATTTCTTTGGTGTGGCAGTGTAAATATAACTTAAAATAACAGTTACACCAGTGGAGCTGGAAAAAGTGAGGTTACAAAGTGGGTGCATTGTGGGTGCACAGTATGAGCATTGTCGATGCAGAGTAGATGGGAGCTGTGGGTGCACAGAATTGATTGGCACTATGGGTGAATGCACAAAGTGGGTGGGTGCATAGAGTGGATGGCAGTGTGG